AGATAGATAGATAGATAGATAGATAGATAGATAGATAGATAGATAGATAGATAGATAGATACTGTAGCTGGTTGGATGGATGGGTAGACAGACAGACGGATGGATGGATGGATGGATGGATGGACGGACGGACAGATAGATAGATACTGTAGCTGGTTGGATGGATGGGTAGACAGACAGACAGACAGACAGATAGATAGACAGATAGATAGATAGACAGATAGATAGATAGATAGATAGATAGATGGATGGATGGATGGATGGATAGATATGGATAGATGGACAAATGTGTATATATAGGCAGGCAGATAAATAGATAGACAGACAGATGAGTAATTAGATGGATGGAGGTATAAACAAATAGACTGGATTACATTCCAAGATTTTCATTGAAGGTCTATGTGATTTTTGATAATGCTCTATGGGAAAAGCGGAAGTCTGATCAGAAAGCAAATTAACAGCATCCCGAGTCACACTGAAGGACATGAAAAGCTGGAAAGCTCTAGGAGCCATTACATTTTATAAATGTCTGGTCTTGCATTAGGGATTTGTCAAGTTGACATACTGTAATAATGATGCCCCAAAAACCCTTTATTTCACAGTAAAATACTCAGCTATTCCGAAACCCCCCCAGATCCCACCTCTAACTCATTCTCTGCCTGTCTCGGGCAACACGTCGGATCACTCCGGCCTCCAGTGATGCATGACACATGACAGATCATCAACATTTTAACACTTTAAAGAAGTAAAGTCAACAAATCCACAAACAACAGCTGAAGAGAGTCCTGTCAGCACAACACAGTAAGCTCTCAGACACTGTCTCTAATGAGCTGTCCCTCGTCTCCTGCTATTGAGCATTGAGACTGTCACTGCACGGATGCCAAACAGACTATGACAGAGTGCACAAAGTGCCTCTGAATCAATACATCAAAGAACTCTCTGAACTTGGAGTTTCTGGTCAAAGGGGCACAAAAGTAATATGGAAGTTGCTTGCTGAGACCAAAATGTGACATTGTCCAGATAAAGATTTTGTGTACCTGATTCTGAATGAAAACATCTTGTTCTTGCATAACTCAGATCTGCATTGCAAATTCCTCTTATTGCTAGATGCTGGAAATCGAATCTGTTGAATTATAATCTGTATATTTGGAGTATCCACACGTTGGCAGTTTGAAATTAGAAAAAGGCAAAACAAATACCAAAATAATCCCTGCAATCAATTCTTGTGAGAGGATTTCCTTGCTAACTATTCATGCATCTCTCTTTGCGGCTACAGATGGCATCTAAATTGTGACAGATCACTGGAAACCTCCATTATCACACCCAAAATTATTTTTCTCTAATTCTTTTTTGTATACGTAAAGTATTCAGTGTGCCTTTCAGCTGTGGCTCTGCAATTTACAAATATTTTATCAAAGATTAGCATGCTATTCAACGCTAGTCTTATATGTAGTTCAGATTTTAAAAATATTAATTTGGGGTTGGGTGTGGGTTTGTTGGCTTAGTTGGTTTCCCCTGCCAATAAGTAAACAACAACACTTGTCTTGACGAAGGACTGCTTGCATGCTTAAAATAGTATAAAAAAAAGGTTGTGTCTCCTTATGTGGCATAGATAGACAGACAGATGAGTAATTAGATGGATGGAGGTATAAACAAATAGATTGGATTACAGTCCAAGATTTTCATTGCAAGTCTATGTGATATTTGATAATACTCTATGAGAAAACCACAAGTCAGATCAGAAAGTAAAGTAACAGTATCTCGAGTCTGACTGAAGGACATGAAAAGCTGGAAAGCTCTAGGAGCCATTACATTTTATAAATGTCTGGTCTTGCATTAGGGATTTGTCAAGTTGACATACTGTAATAATGATGCCCCAAAAACCCTTTATTTCACAGTAAAATACTCAGCTATTCCGAAACCCCCCCAGATCCCACCTCTAACTCATTCTCTGCCTGTCTCGGGCAACACGTCGGATCACTCCGGCCTCCAGTGATGCATGACACATGACAGATCATCAACATTTTAACACTTTAAAGAAGTAAAGTCAACAAATCCACAAACAACAGCTGAAGAGAGTCCTGTCAGCACAACATAGTAAGCTCTCAGACTCTGTCTCTAATGAGCTGTCCCTCGTCTCCTGCTATTGAGCATTGAGACTGTCACTCCACTGATGCCAAACAGACTATGACAGAGTGCACAAAGTGCCTCTGAATCAATGCATCAAAGAACTCTCTGAACTTGGAGTTTCTGGTCAAAGGGGCACAAAAGTAATATGGAAGTTGCTTGCTGAGACCAAAATG